TAGGTAATCTAACTCTGTCATGGACAGATACATTGTATAATTTGGGTAATGATTGAATATTTCAGGTTCTTAAAACCATAGTCTTTTTATTTTTTACCAAAAATTTCTCAAAAAGAAGGAGCAAGAGAATAATAAAAGTTATTATATGTACAAATTAATAGAGCATTGAGAAGAAAAAGAAAGTGAACAACCATATTTATTCATAGACATAGAAAAGAATTTTGATTTTGGATGTGAAGGAAAACTATTAATAAAACATTTTACATAGAGCCAACAATTCCACAAAACATTGAATAACTTTCCATTATAATTAATGTCATATTATCAAGATGCTAGAAATAGAATTGCTGAAGAATATTATTAGTATTATTATTAAGCCTACTTCTCCCTGGGTACATTAAAAAACCACAAAGAGCTAGATACATGCATTTGAACTTATAAAAATGTTGTAATGTGACCATAAATTTCTTTATGTAACTTGTGGTTGACCCTCAGAAATTCAGTAATCCCTGGAAGCTCTACCCCAGCAGTTATAGATCCTATGCAGGACACAGAAATTTACTACTTGAAAAATAAAGTTTAAAATTATTTGACTTAGTCTAATTATAAATGTGACAAATTCAAAATAACACTTGTGTCTGCTTAATAAAATATACAGAATATGGTATGGTGGTTATGAGACCACAAATGAACCCTCTTATCAAACAATAAGCAACTTGGAGCTTTGTTATCTCACTTTGCAAAAGATTTGAAATTATACTACTATTAGAAAGACACACAGGAAGTTTATTATGAGTTTGGATCTCCTATATTTGACTTATAGGGAGTATCTTGTAAGCAATGTTTCCAAATGTAATTCTGAGCCAAAAAAAAAAAAAATTCTACAAGACTTTGGGAAAGTTAGTTTTTCTCTTTGGATGTCAGTTTTCTCATCAATGAAAATAGAAATATCAAAGTATATATCTCATCAGTTTGCCTTGAGGATAGTGTGAGATAATACTATTGACAAAAAATAATGACTCTGCTTTAATGGATACAAGAAAATATTTTAGCTTGAGCCAAATATGAGTGACCATATCACAAGAACATTGATTCAAGTGACACTGATTGGCATGTTTTCATATACATGGAAGAGGACAGATAAGCTTTTATAGTCACAGAGCAAAAAAAAAAAAAAAGTCTTAAATAAATATATTTACCAATTTTATTGGTGGAACTGACTGTCTAGGAGGAAGACTACAGCAAGGTGGGGAAATCACAGGTATAGGTTTTATAGCATATTAACTTTAAGGTTAGTGGAAGCTACAGGTCTGCTAAGCTTAGCAATATATTCTGAGAAGCTCATCTGATAGTTATGAAAATGTCAGGTCAGATACCAAACTTAAGGCACATGGCTATTCAAATGGCTATGACAGCACAAGATAATTTTGTCTTTCAACCTATAGTACCCCATCTCCCCCCAATCTCAATGTTCTAATCAGCCAAGATTAAATAAACAACTGGTCTGCAAGATCTTTACTTATAGATACAGTTCCTCAGAGGACTTCAGTTCACAGTGCAAGTCATGTATTTAGAAGCGTTGGCACAAAGTAAGGGCTCTGTAATTATCAGCTTGCCAGCCTTCAAGGAAAGAAGGCAGTGTTTGGATTGAACTAAGCTTTATCTTCTGAAAAAGCAAAAAGCAATCTTCAATAAATAAATAAGCAGGAAAGCATTCTTTGAGTGAAAGCCATGGCTCATCCCCATCTCAGACGAAGTGATTCAGATCTTGACATTTATTGCAGTGAATCATAGATGATCTCCTAAAATGAAGATCCTTTCAAATCCTATTAAGCTTTCTGGGAGCTTTTTAAAATTTTGCCTCTAAATACTTGTAGTTCTTGATGCTACCACATTAATTCAAATAAGGCTCTTAAGAAAAAGAGAAGGAACAAAGAAAACCAACTTGAAAGAATTGTAGTTTACTTTTAAAAAAGGGTTATTTTCTTATGGAATGCTGATGATATTGAAATGTCTTAGAAGAACAGTGTTTTAAGAAGTACAATTTGAACCCAAAGAAATAGGTCAATGAGGTAAATTTTCTTTTGAAAATAAACCAAAAATCAGTTCAATCAGTGACGCTTTGATGTTAAGAATGCTTTTTTTTTTTTTTTTTGGTGCCTTTAGGTTACATTTGCAATAAACATTTTTGTTAAGGTTCAAAACTGTATTATTAGCATCACTCTTAGATACACCTGTGTGCACGTGCACACATGTCAAGCAGATTGATCCTATCCTTGAACAAAGTTCAATAGTAACTAAGCACATCATTTTTTGAAGTGCTGAATTTAATTTAAAGTGGTCTAAATTGTGATTTTTTTTTCTGCATAGGCAAACAAATTATTTACTTCAGTGAGGGAGTACTGAAAAAGAACTGATTCAAATGTGAGCATGACATCAAAAGCAAGAAGAGGGATGCCAAATGTCACTCTAGATTTATTTAGCCCTGCACAGCTGGAGGTGGGCATGCACATAGATTTACCATATTCTCATCCCAGAAAAATTTTAGGTGATCTAAAGTGAACATTCTATTTCTTAGAGGGCCAAAACTTCCCAGGAGTCTATAATTCTAACCATAATGTAATGTTTGAGCTTCAAAGATTGAGCTTCAATAGGAAATCTCACCACTCCCAGTTACTGCCTTTTCTGGGTTTTGTTGTTGTTGTTATTGTTGTTTTGTTTGTTTGTTTGTTTGTTTTTTGAATCAGATGGGATATAATTTCTCATTTTCTGAGTGTACAGGTTGCAAAATCACATTGGTTATGCAGCCACGTATATACACACAGCAATAATAATGTCTATTTCATTCTACTATCTTTCCTTTTCCCCCATCCACTCCTCTCCCCTCCCATCACTTCTTTCTACCCAATCTAAGGTGACGCTATTCTTTTTTTTCTCACATCTTCATACATGTATTTTGTATAAAGCTGAGGGTTTGGTTTTGATCTTGTGATAACTAATATATTTTCTTCTTGCCATTTCAAATCCTTCTTGTACTAATTCTGTTCTCTTTTTCCTTGCTTTTTCTTCCTGTTATGTTTTAGATGTGAGGTGTCCCCCAAAAGTTTATGTGGGAGACAATGAAAGATGGCATAGAGATACAATGATTAGGTTATGAGAACTTTAACTAGTGTGTTAATTCCCTGATATGAATTAACAGAGTGTGACCATAGGCTGGTAGTTTGTGGCTGGAGGACATAGATCATTGGGGACATGTCTTGGTGGGATATATATTTGGTGTACTGAGCTTAGGCTCTGTCTCTGCTTCTTGGTAGGATGTCCTGAGCCACTTTCCTCCACCCTATACTCTTCTGCCTCCCACCCCCCACCAAGGAATGGAGTCCTAAAATTTTCTTTTGGTCACAGTAGCAAGAAAACTAAAATTCTTTCTTTCCTACTTTCATTCTCCCTGCTATTTTTGTTGTTATTGTTTTGTTGTTGTTTAATAATTGGTTTCAAACAAATGTGTATAAAGAACTAATAAGAATTCAAGAATGTAATCGGATTAGACATCTTAGATAATATTTTGTTTCAGAAATAGCAGTAAGAATTCATAACATAATGTAAAGAATCAGCTATAATAAAGCTGTCAGGATTTTGGTTTTTGACCTCACTTCAAAGAAATTTTCTTACTGTAGGAAAGGCATATGCCACTCCAAGCAATGTGAGCTTATTGTGTCCATCTAGTATGCCTTGTGGGGCACAATTTTATTTAGTGTCGGGATGTAAAAGGAGACTATTCTCATTGCCTTGATTTCAGACATTATTCACCTTGTGATGACCAGGGAAGCACCTCTTAATTCCTATCACTTGTTCACCACCTTGTAGTATCAAAGAGAAAAATCAGTGTGGAAATAGGATAGGAAGGTTTCCTTCATGAGGTGAAGATAGTCCTTTCCTTAAATGGTAATGCTAAATCATAAATTCCTAAATTGACTACATATTTCCAATGGCCTCTCCTTGATGGACCTTATCCTGGAATCTATCTAATTGATTTATTATTCCATTTACTTTCTATTGTTTTAAAATGGAACTCTATCAAAAACATGTCTTTGGATATAAAATGTGAATTGTGTTTCTTTAACATCTAGTGCAGCCTTATAAACATTAAGGTACATTGCCTATTTTTCTTAGTGTTGGTAAGAAAACAACATTCCTATTACACAAGTCTAATTACCTTTAAGAGACACCATAAGAACTCAGAACAATGATGGCATCATTACTGTTATTGCTCTCTGAATTCTTAAGTGACCATTGTATTCTCTGTCTCTGGGTCTCTTTATAGTGCCAAAGCCCTCACTAAAAGGAATTAGATCAGACTATGATTATGTAGTGGATATGATATCTTTGCATGCTTTCTCATTGGAAAATATATATCTATATTACCTATTATCTTAGTGTATATGAATAAATCCCCAAACTATTTATGCTATTGTATTTTGCTATGTAGCTTTTTTGTCTTGTTAATTATTACCTATCTCAATATAATAGCAAAGAAATATGTTTGGCAAAGTAGTCTTCTTTTATTAAAGGTACATTTTAATTTGATATTGGAAGCAATCAAGTTTTAAAATGTGATTGACCTTTATCTTTTTAGATTCCTTTTGAAGATACATGCATGACAAAAATGTTCTCTTTGGAAATTTTTCAAACTGACTGATAATATGATAAATCCTTTTTTTCCAAGAAAAATAAAATGGTTCATTATTTCTTTTTGCTACTTACAACTTCAAAAAGGAATATAATTTTTAGCTAGTTATGTGTTTGTGACTCTAGATATCATTTGATAAAATGAGTCAAGTAGGAAACTTCCATTTCTTTATGATGATACATCAAATGTGTCCTTATCTCTAAAATCAGTAAGAGGGAGGAAGCGAAGAAATCCTTCTACCTTGTTTAACTTTCATGTATCTTTAGAACTTACAATAAAAGAACTAGATTTTGATATGTTTATTTTTCAGGAGCCAAGGAGAAAGAAATAGCCCTAATGAATGCTTTGACCGTTAATTTACATCTCCTACTTGTAAGTTTCTTTTCCCACCAATGTTTAGAATACACTCATTTATGGGATCTGATGTATTTCTATCTTTAATTCATGAGATTCTGATGGTTTGCTTATTTAAAAATAAGTTGTGAGGTTATGTTCATTTTTACCAGGAAATGCTGGCCCATGACATAATGGTTTCTACATAATCATGGAAAAGTTGACTCTTACAAAGAAATTTAGAATAATGAAGAGTTCTTAGCTCAGAACATAAAAAAAGAGTCATAGTGGATGAAAAGAAACATTGCTTTCAAGAACATAAAGCAAACATGTATAGTTACCAGCAAAGCACTGAGTTTTTCAGAAAGACATTATCCAGTATGCAGATCTTTAGCAGAGAGAGATTATGGATCAGTATACATTTGTATAGCAATGGTTGAGGAGAAGAAAAACACTTGAAACACAGAAAGTAAACTGGTGAAAAGAAATATAGTACCTTAAATGAGCTACTGTATTTAAAGTACTTCTTACATGTTAAATATTTAATAAATAATTTTATCTCAAAATGTCAGATGTATTCTGAATTTGGTATGTAGTGTCTTTTGTAATTGATGCTTTGAAAAAAATTGACTTCATTTTTTTTTAGTATGATTTGAAAACATACCTGCAAGTTCAGGCATAACTCATTTTGACTCCCAGGTATGTTATTTAATGTCTATTTGAGATTGGACAAAGTTTTCATCATCTGTAAGTTTTAAAGTTCTTCTTTCTAAAAATGACAATAATACCTACCTCATAGATCTGCACAAGGTTTGAATGTGATATGTAAGAACTTATTTAGCACCTGGGCCAATAATTAACAGCCAAATAACGGCAGCTGTCAATCTCGTTATTATTGTCAATCTCATTATCTAAGAACTATGTGGAGAAATGAAAGGGCACCCCCTGGCCAAATGAGTACTTTGTGCTAGTGCCTCTAAGAAAGACAATTGTTTCATATTAAAGCTGAAAGGTGTTTTGGTTGGACCTAAAATAAATGCCATAAAATAACATTGGAAAGGTGATGTATTAGAAACAAAATTGGTAGTGCAAGATAAGTCAATGTAAATAAAACACACAGAGAACATGATGTTTCAGTCTGATACTAGAGAATTTACTAATAAATACTTTGGGAAGATAATTTTTCAACTAACATTTAAGTATACTTTGAGAATTTGTTTTGATCTGATTTACATTTTCCCCTGAGTTTGCTATTCCATTGATAAACATAATGAGCTGATATCTTCTTCCTTTTCATAATTCATTGGAAACAGGGCTAATTGAAAAGCTACCCCTGACAGATATCTTAGATGTTTAATTAATTAATGCCTTTAAATTTTGAAGATTCTAAAATGAAAGTGTGGCATCAACTGAACAAATGCAGAAATTGTATATTAATGCTTTCTCAATAAATCCATTTCATTGCAGTTATCATTTTTTAAGCCTACACCAAAACGGCATAAAATTCTTCTAGAAGCCAAAGCCTTCCCTTCTGATCATGTAAGGATTTCTTCAAATTACATTTATGTTCTTTCTACTCTTCATAGAGGGACATCATTTGCCTGACTTGAATGTTTATTCACTAGTCTTTTCTGAATAACCTTACACTAAAAAGATCTGTCAAATGCTTTTGATTTAAGAATTTTTTATAGATTGTAGATTTATTTCTTTTGTTCAAGTAAAACATGTGTTAAGGGAGGGAAGGATTGAATAGGAACACTGATTTATTAGTTTTTTTAAAAGACACTGAACAAACCGCTGGTCTAAATGAAGTGTAGTTATAAATTTTTTATTAATTCTTGTTGCCTTTTTATGTTATGAGATCAAATCAATACAAACCCTACTGCTTAACCCTTTGGCCATATAAAATTGCAATTTAAACCTGCATTTGCCCCTTCCTTTTCATAGCATAATAGCATAATTTTTCTTTCTTTTTTTTTAAGAGAGAGAGAGAGAGAGAGAGAGAGAGAGAATTTTTAATATTTATTTTTTAGTTTTCGGCAAACACAACATCTTTGTTTGTATGTGGTGCTGAGGATCGAACCCGGGCCGCACGCATGCCAGGCAAGCGCGCTACCGCTTGAGCCACATCCCCAGCCCAATAGCATAATTTTTCATGCCTTATTATTTTAAAAAAACTACTAAAGATTTAAAATATTTCTCATGGTTCACTAAAATGTCATGTAGTATATCTTATCAGCAATTTGGTTGATAAAATTTGATTGTTCCAGACACATCCACAGAAAAAGGTACATGGCATATTTCAATTTTAGTATTAGAGAAACTTGATTTCTACATTATATTATGACTGTTAACTATAGTGCATATATCATAATTGTAGGGCATGTAATTATGTCAGAATTAACAGCCATTTCCTTACTGAAAGAATCAAACTCTAATATCTTGAGAAAAAAATCATGCTCCTTGCGATTGTTTGTTCCCAGTCATATCTTATATTATCAGTAAAGTCAATTCCTATTGTTCTTTCCTTTCACTAACTTACTCATGCTAGGATAAGCCATTTTTATATCCTCGATACAACTGTAGCAAGTGCATACTGCTCACATTGGTTTTCTGCAGATTCTGATTGTGATTTAGATTAGGTGACTTTTGATAGCAAAATCTCTCCTAACTCCAGAAGTCTAAATCACTCCTATATTTCCATTGGGCTGTAATTTGTAATATCTCAGAGTGTTCGGATTCCTACTTAAATCGGATTAAGCAGTTTTTCTCTGATATATTAGTTATTCACTTTTAACCTTGACTTTGGATTTCATATAATAATGTTTTCATTGATATTTTATTATTTGTTTTCCAAGTTGTTATGTTAATGTCCTTCTATGCTTCGGGCTTGATTTAATAAATAACTTCTTTTTCCAGTATGCTATAGAGTCACAGCTTCAACTTCACGGACTTAATGTTGAAAGAAGTATGCGGATGATAAAGCCACGAGAGGTATATGAGAAAGAAATAAATATTCATCATGCTTCTATTCACTATTGATTTTTTTATTCATTCTCCTCAAAAGTTTATTATCTTCATTACTGTAATGGAACTTTCAAGAAAGTACAAAAGACTCATACTTCTCTTACTGTCAGCTCATTTTGTTTAAAATAGTGAATAACTCAGAATTGTATTTATTTTTATATTTCATGGGCTACCCATCTGGTAAGCAAACAATCTTCTATTTATGTTACTGGAGTCTACAGAGTCTACAAGGAAATGGGATGAAGATGATAAATTGGGTGTACCTTTTTTAATTTTAAATTTTATTGCCCTTTAGTGCCATTAAAATCAGGTAAAAGACCAGTGGTATTTGTTGAATTTAAATAGTGATTATCTTTCCTGGCCCTTAATAATCTAAGTATCAAATATTGTCCGTTGTCTTTAGACAAAGGAGAAAGGATGAGGTATACTTGGAAAATCTTGGCTTTTATAGCCTGACTGACATACCCAGTAGAATCCCACCTCTCCAACTTAGTAGGTGTGTGACTTTACTAAAATTGTTTATCTGTCTGAGACTCCTTTATATTCAAACAGATAACAAAAGATACATTTGATACAACTTAACCATATCTTCAAGGTCTAAACTCTCGTGTATTTTACCTTAAGAGACGTGTAAGGCCAAGTTGTACACATTTGACATATAAACCCCTGCAGCTTCTATAATTTGGCGCCAAGAAAGTCACACAGAATAAATTATAGGTTTCACATATGATGCTCCCAGGCTATTAAGCCAATGTTTGAACAATTACTTCTTTCAGCCCAGAATTACTCTGAAGAAATTAAAGACCTGCTCTCTTCTCTTCTACTTGCCAACATGCAGTAAATTAATGGAATGAAAAGTTCTTGCACCACTGAGAGGATATCTGTTTCACACATACTAGATGAATTGCTTATTTCTTGCATAAATGAAAAAGTCACTATCAGAGGTTTTAGTTGAAAGTGACCAGCAGTTTGAAGTCTTATGAGTTAATTGTGATCTTGGGACCCATCTTTTAGCATTACTAGATGATAACAAGTTAGCATGAATGAGGGACATGTCTTATCATGGAAAACAGTTTTTCTTATTTGCTTATTACTGCTTCTTTAAACAAATAACTCATGAACTAATTTATATAATACTTTCCATTACTCTTCTTGAAATTGTGGTGGTCAAACCTTATTTGATTTTTTAAAGAATAAAGAGTTTCAGGGCTGGGGTTGTAGCTCAGAGGAAGAGTGCTTGCCTTGCATGCGTGAGGCACTGGGTTTGATCCTTAGCACCACATAAAAATAAAATAAAGATATTGTATCCACCTATAACTAAAAAATAAATATTAAAAAAGAATAAAGAGTTTGAATTACCAAATTTTTATATAACTTAGATTGTTTCTAATAACTACTGAAATGCTTCATAGCATATAAGTACATTTCATTTAATTCAGAGATTTCAATATCTATCATATTCCCATTTCATAGAGATTCCAGACTTCTTGTAGTATAGAGTATATTACACACACACACACACACACACACATATGCATGCACACACACATACACACTTAACACATAAGACATTTGGCAAATAGCAATAATTATGAAAACTTAAGAATAAATGGAAGGAGCCAGCACAGTGGCACATGCCTATAAAATCCCAGCAGCTCAGGAAGCTGAGGCAGAAAGATCATGAGTTTAAAGCCAGCCTCAGCAACTTAGTGAGACTGTGTCTCAAAATAAAGTATAAATATGGCTGGGGATGTGGCTCGGTGGTTAAGTGCCTCTGGGTTTAATCCCTGGTATGATCAATCAATAAAAATAAAATAAAATAAAGGAAATTTTATTAATGAGTTTTCCTCCAATATTAATGTAATTACTCTACATTGACTTTAAAAGAAGTCAGATTTAGCACTGCACAAAATTCATGAAAACTTGTTGTATATCACAATTGTTAGGCTACAAGTATTGAACTGATTTCTTTCAGCTCAAGTTGTTTACAAGTCTAAATATAGATTTATTCATTTTTTTTTACTAAGTAATCATCATTAGTTATAGGGGGATATACTAATTATTTATAAATTATTTTTCTTTATGTTTGGATCAGTGTCTTTCTATTTGGAGAATATTTTACTCTTAAGTTAGAAATATTAGGTACTATTCAGATGAAAGATATGCAAGTGATGCTTTTTGGGAAAATAGTATATTAGATTGACAAATGCAATATTAATTTCCAACAGATTTCTCTTGCTATATGATATTCCATGGAATTGCACTTTTAGGTGTTTTATTGGATGGGTGTGATGAGAAAACGACCAATAGGTATACAAATAGTAAAGATTAACCTAAAACTCGAAGAAAAAATAAGCAAGTAGACTTTTGTAATGACTTACACTTAAAGAAAAACCACTACTTCTATTTTATTATAATTTATTTTTAAATTGTCATTTCTTATAGAAAAAAAAAATTCAAATTCTGCTCTTTAGCCAGGTTTTGAAGAGCATTAATGCAGTGGAAAATTTTCACCTTTAGTTTTTCTTATGGTGAGACAGCTTATGGTGAAATTATAAATATGTGATAAGAGTATTATTGTCAATATTATGTAACTTATACCTAATTTGACTTAGGGAGAAGAAATATTAAGGATGGAGGATATTCTTGAAGTAATTGAGAAGGAAGGAGACTCTATTGCAGTGATCCTGTTCAGCGGGCTGCATTTTTACACTGGACAGCTCTTCGATATGCCTGCCATTACAAAAGCTGGACAAGCAAAGGTATACACATTATTTTCTCCTTCCAGCTCACCCAACCATTGCTCCACCTGCACTTCTAGTAAAGTACCTTGGTTTCTGGCACTGTAAATTTATTATAAGGAAGTTTTTTCTTTAAAAAAGAGTAAGGCTTGTATAAATTTTAAAAAATGCACTCTGTTCTTTTTTTGCTTTAGATGTCTCTATTTAGAAAGCCAAGTTTTGCATGTCTGTGGTCTCCTTCACTTAGGAACAGCTGCTGTCTGAGGTCTGCTTCTAGTGAGCAGCACAGGCAAGCTCCCCACAGGTGATGTCGCTGGTATTCAGCTGCTCAGACAGCAGGAAGCAGAGCAAACACCCAGCCTTGTAACTCCATGTGAGGACTGTTAGAACTCTGCCTTGCTACTTCGCCATTCTGTAATTCATCCTAAATATAAATTGGTTCTCACTTAACCCTAGATACACAAAGATGGAGAAATGTAGGATCAAACTTTATCAAGAAATTGAGTATTCACTCAAGGTACTTAGGAAGGCCATTTAATGTCTAAGAATCTCAAGAATGTTTTTTTTTCCTTATACATTACTACATTAAACTTAAATTTTTGACCACTTCTAAATTGTGTCTTTTTTTATAAATAAGTGTTTGCCCAGAGTGCTTCTGGTGTTTATCTCCCTAACAAAATAAATAAATAAATAAAGGGAGTAAAATTCAGTGCTCACAATTTACATTTAAAATTCTAAAGTAAGAATTCTATTTGATTCAGCATTTATTTAAAAAGATGACAATGTAATTTTATTCTGGACATTAATAAGTTATGGGATTCATATATATGTGAAGTCTAGTTAATATATTCAGTTATTGAAGCTAATGAGTGGAACTAATGAAAAGAAATTTAGCACTGTTATCAGCAGTCTCTAGGAATCCCCAACCACGAGTTTCAACTGGTTTGATGGATAACTGTGAAAGTGGTGCAGTACAAAAGATATAAAGATAATGTATTCTTAACTTAGACATTAAATATTAAGCACCAAAATAAAGGGAGGCCAATAAAAAACATCATATTTTAAAATGTTACGCAAATAATCACCAGTCCCTGATCCTTAGTATATATACATGCACGTGTTATTAAACTTCCTAGATATGAGACAGAAAGAAAAGAAAGGCAATGGATTTTGGCATCATCCCACTGTCTAATGTTCAAATACTGGCTAGGTCATTTAATTATTATATGATAAAGTCAAGTTTATTTACTTTTCTGAGTCTCTATTTTTAAAAATACTAATCTGGGATAGCATCTACCTCAAATTCAGTATGCAAATATAGAGTACAAAACACCTCTTTTCTATACCAACTAAATGTAGATACACCTCATTGATCTTTGCCTTCCTATCCCTAATGATTTAACCACTACTCATCAACTCAACTACTACTACTACTGCAAGAAAGCTCTAGGCTACTCTTAGAGCAGAAGACTGTCACCCATGCTCATGCACCTGCTACCCCTGGATGTCCTATCCTATATGCACCTTGAGATCAGCTTGGTTCAAATAGATTTGTCTCCCACAAAATGTTCCTACTGTTTTATACTACCATTCGGCTACACCTTCAGATTCATCTCATCTCTCCTGTCATTAATCACTCACTTTTCAATTCCACTCTTAGAGTCTGTCTTTCCCTTCATCTTCCTGAATCAGGTAGGAAGCATTTCAGCTGCAGTAAACAACATCCCAACAAAATCAACCAAAAAGCAGGGATTCCTTTTCTAACCACAGAAGACTTGAGGCTGTAGTCTGACTGGCATCTCCAGAGTTCTCTTCAGTTTTCTCACACTTTTCACATTACAGTCCTAAGGTGGGGTTGTCCCAAATCCAGACATCCCATTTCTATTTAAGGAAAAGAGAAGGAAGAAGGGAGAAGTTTCAGTGCAGCCGCTTCATCTGTCCCTTTCATCTGAAGTGCTAAAGCTTTCCCAGAAAAACCTAGCAGATTCCTTCTTGTGACTCACTGCCTTCTGAAGTGGCAGCTAAAAAAGAACATGGGTGAAGAAAGAGTTCACATTTATAGCCCCATAGGAGAGAAGGACTAGGAAAAAGGGGTTGGAAAAAGATTTGGGCTTGATAAGGCACAATGTTTCCCATTTGTGCAGCTGCAGGATCTCATGGTTTCTAACTGGGTCATGTGGCACTTGCTATTTGAGTGCAAACATCTGTTAGACTCAACCACAAGCTGCATTTATTTATTTGTTTGTTTGTTTATTTGTTTATATTATGGCACTGGGGATTGAATCCACAGGTGTTTTGCCTCTGAGCTATATCCCAAGTATTTTTTTCCCCCTTTGAGACAGGGTCTTGCTAAGTTGCTGACGCTAGCCTCAAACTTGCAATCTTCCTGCCTCAGCAGCTGAGTTACTGGAACTATAGGCATGTGCCACTGCTCCTGGCTCAGCTATTTAAGTTATTAATGAATAATAATCACAGTCATGGCCCAATCAGTCTGGAAAAAAATTAATAAATAAAGTACTGGGTACAGTGACATGTACCTCTTGTTCTAGCCACTTGGATAGCTAAAGAAGGAGGATCACTTGATCCCAAGAATTTGCGGTCAGCAAATCTCTCTTAAAGAAAAATAAAAAAGGCAGCAGCAGAATATAAATGATGACATTATTAATAAGGTATTTTAGTAAAATCAAAGACACCCAGGTAACATTCATATAACCTTCACATACAAACATTAGCCTCAATGAACCATCTAATTAAGGGAAAATATAATTTTTTTTTCTTGAACAGTTTTGAAATTCTTCTAGGAGATAAAGAAATGACTGATCAAACTTTTGACAGAAAGCTTGGCTATTATCTTTCCAGGTCTAAAGATAAGGAGTGAGCTCTCATGAGCTATTTTTATAGAAGAGTATCAAAAATATTTGCATATGATATCATGTGAGCAAAGAATTGACAGGAAAAATTATTACCAAATACAACTGTATATAAATATAATAAGAATTGGCATGGTTTATGGATTTCTGTTCATAATAAATTAACCTTGCTGGGAAAGATGTTACATGCATGTAATCCCTGAGACTCCAGAGGTTGAGGTAGGAAAATCAAAATATTGAGTTCAACCCAAGCAATTTAGCAACAAACTGCTCTGTGGCACATAGCTGTAATCCCAATTTCAACTACTCAGGAGGCTGAGGCAGGAGATTGTAAGTTGGAGACAAGCCTCAGCAATTTAGTGAGACCCTGTCTCTCTCTCTCTTTTTTTTTTTAAGTGAAGATAACCTCAACATTTTATTAGCATAATGAAACAATGAAGTTTAGAACTGGATCACTTGGCCTTTTCTCCTCTTATCTTCTCCCAGTTCCAAATGCTTGTATCTCTTAATAGCCAGCATTCTCTTAGATCTGCACTTAGGCTCAACACAGTCAAGCCTCAATACAACCTTCTTTGTAGTTTAGCTTTTTGCCACTCTGTTTCCTGTCATATGCCATTTTCCCTTGTGCATACAGATAATTCTTGCCCTTCTTGTACTGTGTCACTTTATGGCATTTGTTACATTTCTTATAGAACGTCCAGTGGATCTTAGGAATGTTCACCATATTTGTGGGAGTCTTATCGGCAAGGAAAATAAAAGGAAGACCCTGTCTCAAAATAACAAGAAAAAAAGGGCTGAGGATGTAACTTAATGATACAACATCTCTTGGTTCAATCCCTAGTATTCCAAGAAAAGAGAAGAGAAGATGTATAATAAATTACCCATGGCCTTGAACTCATCCATGCATGTTAGGGTCTGTAAACAAGTCAAGATGGCGCCTGGCATTTTGCCAGAGGGAGTGGTTTGTGAAGTAACATCAGCGAGCCATTAAGTGTGGAGATTCCTTATTGGTTGACTGCTGTATCTAGTTTATGTTAATTAAGATAAACTGTGTGGAATGTATATATACCCCACCTGTGCTACAATAAACAGCTCCCACTCCTGCTGTATCAATGTACACAAGTTGCTCATCACCCCCCGAGTTATTTTGCTGCAGCCGGATAGCGGCACATGCAGGAGCCAAATATCAATAACCTGAAATATGTTAGTGAGGCTCAGTCCCCAAGAACCTAAGTTTTTGAAGCTATTGCTAAGAAGTTTTCAGCAGATGTTTTATTTAAGATTTGATTAAATGAACCATGGGAGAAAGAATGATTAATTCTCCATGGAACAGAAACCTGGAATCCAGATGTTGTTTTAGGATTGCAGATATGGGAAAATCAAGCCTCTTAGTTGTCAATCAGAATTTTTGATTTTGCAACCACTCTCTTCAGTGCTATCAAGGATAACTGTTTCTCTTATCAAGCTTCATAACATCTAATTTCAGTATCTCCCAAAGGAGATATTACATATAGAGTTTCTGTAAATGATGAGTATTTTATAAAAAAAAAATAGTTCCTTAAGGGCCAGGATATTTTCTCTAATATTCCAGTTTTCATACCTCTTAACAAACCAAGGAAGGCTAAGTCTATGTTAAGCTGAAAAATTGAAAGTGTTTCAATATGAAATGTATACATCATTTGATGTATGGTGGTTGAATTTCCTACAACTCATCTGATTTTTTTCACTTACTTCTTTAAGAATGGAAAAGGAGATTGTGAGGAAGATGGCGGCGAGGGGAGTGCATTACCCCCGTGTGCTGCTTCACTGTGTGGGAGTATGACAAGTCAGGACGGCTAAAGGATATCTTGTTAGGAATTTCCAGCAATAGTGGGGTGCGCCGGAACCTGGAGGAAGGATTTCCATCGCATGAGGATCGGCTACGGGGACTCAAACGCGAGAGGTTTGTCGCACGGAGGGTAATACTGCTTATTCAGCAAATCGCCCCGCGGCTAGAGTCTGCAAGGCGCGCTGGGATAGAGACGCAGGGTTACAGCGCTGCAGTTTCTGCCAGACGCGCAAGCACCGCACTCAGGGCTGAATTCTGGGTTCGAGACGGGGAAGGAAGCGGTCCATCTTGGTTCTCCACACCGGTCAGACCACAGAGGAGGC